TGGGAGATGAATATATGCAAATTTCAGGACATATTTGTGGATTCTCCCGGATATACGGTAGTTCGGAACAATGGGAACTGTTGTTAATTCATTCGCGTAGGTAATTATTCAAAAGCGTTAGTAAATGATACACGAACAAACAATAAAATTAGAAGTCGAAACAATCGCTCACATTCGAATGTATGAAAATAATTTGATTATTATTAACATATTTGCCGCAATCTATTACGTCAAATAATAGTCATAAGTCTCAAATAGAACGTTATAAAAAAACACATAGAGAAATTTTAAAGGGCGGTAGTCGTCGCGCCACGCATGCGTATATGGGTCTCATATAAACAAAGATGGCGACTTTGATTGTTGTGCAGATCAACAGTACAAACTGTGACGTTACCAAGTTTTAATTAGGTTCTTTTAAGTGATTGGAAGTTATCGAAGGAGTCACCGGCGGTAATTAGTACAAGTCGTGCCCAGGTCAAACCTCATATTTGTGATTTCTATTAGAAGAGCGCATTGGATTGTGGGAAAATCAATGTTTATTGACACAAATGTCGCACATGCGCCGCGCGACGACTAACGCCCTTTAAGAGTCGCATGAAAATGTTCTGCTAAATTGCAGCGCCAATAGTCCTTCTATAAAATGACATTACGGGGTTTTCAGAGCCTGAAAAATACGTTCGTCTGAGGCATGGGACCAATGTTTCGTTTGATCCATGTTATCAACAGATTAGCCTCCAGTTGCTTCAGCCATGGGGCTATAAATAGATTAGCTTAATGTTTCAATAGGATTGACCCTATTGCTTATTTTATCTTGGTAGATTGAATTGACATGGGATTACTTCAAGCTGGTCGTATAAGAATATTGGGAAATTATCGAAGTCTGGCTTTACTAGGTTGGAACGTCAAAACAACCGTCGTCTGAAACTTAGTGTGAAGCGACTGCTGGGTTAACCCTCATAAACTAGAGACCGGAGTAAAAAAGAAACGCTGAAACGCAGCCCCTGTGTTGAAGGGCTGTGCTTTTCAAGAATAGTAGATCTTGAGGACATCTTCAGATTTCTGAAAATGAAAATAACTGCAAAATATCCACGTCGAATTAACGAATACACAAACAAGCATTAAGCCATCAATCATCGCGCAAACTCAGTATGACCATAAATCGGCCTGTCGACCGATGTCTTATATTAATCAGCCCCAAAACAGCGTGTACACTACTGAATGAAATAAACGTCACACAAATCCAGATGCAAATTTATGTTTCTCATTATGAAAAATAATTTGGATTAGTTCACAACATTACATGGACTATAGATATGACATGTTTTACTAGTTTTAGAAACAGTGCTCTTTTAATAATGTTCCGGTACAGGTTTGAGTTTCGAACGGTGAACTACATGAAGCGCTGATTGGAGTGATTGGTGATAGGAGTCTGGTCAATATATTATTAGTATGTGAGCAATACAGTAATGAGCACATCTGGTGTCGACTTTTGACAGTGGTGAACAAGACACACATACGTTGTGTAACACAAAACTAGTTATGCTGGCAAGTGGATGGATAAATCAGTTGAAATCACTCGGGCAAGAATCGGAGAATAAATTCAATACCTAACAAGAAACACCCGCTATGGCTCGCCGGTGGCAACCAAATCGTGCCCGTTAGTGTTGCGTCAAGTATAATAATGCTTTTCCAAGTTCATATACTAAAATGATTATATATTCAAATAAGTGACAAAAAGTCCTCTAATAAAACAGAACGTATTCTCCCTATTCAGGGTCATAGTTCTGAGAATCTAAGTGAATAATTTATTCGCGGAATCTATAATCGACGAAGCTATGATTTGTTCAATATATATGCATCATGCTATTTGATAAGTTGATGAATATTACATCTAAATGAATACAAATAGTAGAAGAATCGTGTTACTAAAACATCTTCATAAAACAGTAAAAGGGAGTACAGAAACTGGGTCACGATACGGGATTGCCTGAGTCGGTGACTATGTCTTATCTACTCGAATTTTTTTGAGATAGTAATAAGAGAAAAACGAGTTAAAAATTTATCTGTGATATCAGACATTCTTTAAAAGTTACTGCGCATGTTTCTATTACAACCGTCAACGTATATATTTTCTGAAAGTTTAGATATACATGTACTAGTAGACGAATACGGTAGTGCATATGCCATACCAATGTTTGTCTAAGCGATTACCTGCCGGTGATTTTCGCCATTGTGACCATTCCGACTATTGAAAACACAGTTTTAAAACATTCATTCCCCATGACGTACGAGTGAGCTATGAATTGTACAGGATATTCGCGACGATGTAGGCTAGAAGATTATGTTTCAGTTTATTTTTATCCTTGTTTCAATTTATCATTTTTTCGAGCTGCGGGAAATTAACTACAGACATGCTACCGTCAATTCGTTATTAATGTTATATGTGACGTTAGAAAACCATGGCAATCTAAGCGTGTGTTTACTCCATGAGTGCGGCCGGCAAACCACTGATTTGTTGGCCGCAAAGAATCGGAATATAAATATATATAAGTGATTATCGAGATGACAAGAAAATACAACAAAGAATGATACAGGGCCTCCGAAAACAGACTGCATCGACGAAATGAACCAGTAAATTGAAAAAAAATAAAATAAAAGGCGCATCTCATTTAGATGGATGCAAATGCAATGCGCTATTGAAATGAACAAGGAATTGAAACGAAATTGGACATAAAGGCAATGTGAGTTAATTTACATGGAGATAATGCGATGCTTTCATTGGTTTATTTGGATTGTAGAATATCCGTAGAATGTAGTTACATTTCATCATGTAAATTACTATAGATTAATGTCAATAATGTTAACAGGCTGTGAACCTTAAAGGCGGTACGCAATATGTACTCCGAAAGATAGCACAATGTGGTCCTCTATGAATGGAATATATTATAATTTCGAAATTACACTTGGTCATCATTGCAATTATCTGGCACTATTTTAGTATTTAAAAAAGTATTTTTATTTACCTTAGTTTTTTTTTATATTTGACGTAGTCTATAAATCACTGAGAGGTTGTGAAGACGATGACGAAGATGATGGAGAATCGAAAGTCTGAATATTAATCTCATGTTACGATGTCACAGAGCGAGTATAATTTTATAAATACACAACACAATTTCTGAATTTACGTTTATAATGTATGCTGAAGATGCGGCTGGGTTTAGAATGCCTGGGGTAATGAGAAAACCGCAAACAAGATTACATTGATATAAAGCCCCGACTGACAGTGATGAATGCACTTACGGACTAGCGATCAAGTTATTTCTCGCTAATTTTATTTCCAAGATTGAGAAAATTGGTGTAAAAATATGTTGCCGTTATCGTGACATTTAGAATACCCCCCCCCCCTATTGTGTCGTATTTATTTGCATAGAAGAAGATTTGCAAAAACTACATATGTTGTGATACAGTTTCAAAATATGTGCTGTCCTACCATCGTTGGAATGATTGTTTAGACCCCGCCAACTCATCCCGCGCTCATACATTGCCCTTACATAAACACCAAATATGTATCCGTACATCCCGGGTAGAGTTAACAACCGTTGCGTGCTTGAGAATTAAACAATGTCCACCGTTAGACGCCGGGGTGTTCTAACAGCACACATATTGTGCCAACTTCTTGTTGATGATTTACTGGCTTGTTAACTGGGAGCGTAGGAACAACAAAACAACTTTTACGACCCATATTTATTACAATTCACATAAATTATAACGTTTAGTTTTATACTCGAAAACATCGCACTTGGCCGTCAATTAATTAGTACTCTGGTTGCTAAGTTCGCATTTATAACTTCATTGTTATGTGACACACGGACTAACTAAGACCAGAAAATAAATGAAGATGTTTGCCACTAAAATCGTAAATTGCATATCAATTCTATTCACCAAAAAGCATATACTCTATGTTTATTCCTGTCCAATCCTGTACAAATACCACTGCGTCAATCACAGGCCATGTTCTTATTGTTTTATGTGTGACATTGCCATGGCAACATAGTTACGGATAATTTTGTGTGATGTCGGAATTTTAATATTAATGTTTTTGTTTTGTTTAGGTTTTTATTCACACTTGTATGGTAATTACACGAGTAGGTAGGAAGCGTGAAATCGGATTCAGATACGATGTGTCACTACAATTAACTAGAGGAGGGCGCATATGTTTGTATGTTCGTGGTTCCTCATGTTTTTATACTACAATAATGACTCTGCTGCTGGGATCTTACAGTTAATATAAGGCTCGCGAGTATTTTCCACTTTGAAACATCTTCATATATCAATTATGTGGAATATACCCTATGTTTATCTTCGTATCCAGATAACGAAGTCATTCATACACAAATACCACTGCGTCAATCACAATGCCATGTTTTTGTTGTTTTATGTTTTACATTACCATAGCAACATAGTTACGGATAACTTTGTGCGATGTGGGGTATTAATATTAATGTTTTTATTTTGCTTTTTATTCACGCTAATCACTTGTATGGTAAATTACAGGAGTAGGTAGGAAAGGTGAAATCGGATTCCGATACGATGGAGTTTGTGGATGAACTGCAAGGCGCATTAAGGCTCACGGATATTTTCCACTTTGAAACATATTTTGAATACTTTTTTACGTAAAAATACACTTAATTGTCGTCAAATGAAATATATATAGTATGTACAGAAATTAGTGTTTAGTTTCATGGTAAATATCTGATTAAAATGGTTAATGACGCATTCATATACTAGTATACTAGTACTTCATATACAAGTACTATGTTTCAATTAGTCAAAGTTTCGCCGTTGGTGGCGCACCCTAAAAGTTTCTCACGCCCCCACCCCACATACATGTCAAGGAATAACTGCATTCAAACACTAAAACAACAACATGCATATTGTTATTCAAATAAATAATATCTTATTTATTCTGACATAATTTTTCAATACCACCCCAGTAATTATATACACCCTTACATAAATACACACATATCATCAATTCTTGATTCTAAACAAAACAGCCGATTTTTTAAAAGTTAAACATCAAAACAATAATTGTGAACAAATAAACCTAGTCATCTGTGTCGTGACAAGTAATGTAACCATGATCGCAGTGTCATTTATATTGAAATTGAAACTAAACTTGTCTTTGTAAATAAAATGGCTGCGGGTGGATATTCCGAATGTGGTGTTATCTATTTCGCACTATTTTTTTTAGCGTGATGGATTACTACTATTACGTCACTACCGGTTACAGGGCACATTATGTGAAAATATTTGACCGATATAATCAAATTCGTCATAGCCCCTTATTTCATAATGAATTACATTAAATTGACTGTTGTTGTTTTTGTTTTTTGTTTTTTTTTAACTTTAAAAATGAAATAAAAATACACCGAAACACAATTTATATAAAGGCGGCCATAACGAGCATGATATAAAATGAAGCTATCAATCACGAACATTCTATTACATTTTCACTTCAGTTATTCGAACTCCTATTTGGAGTTACAATGCCTGTCCCGCGTATACATATGGAACTGAATTGAATGAAACAGTGGGTGGATATATTATAGTGCTTGAGTTTCTGTGCTGAGGATTTTGGGACTCCGTGTAACTGGTACCGACACAGTGAGTTGGCAGATCTAATTTAGTCACGCGATTCATTACAAATGTAGTTACAAATATGCACCTACCATCAAGTATTCATACTAAAAATAACGCAAGTAGGTGAAGTGCTGTGTCAGTCATAAGATACTAGTAGTTAGTACGCCATCGCCGACGCGCTTCTGTCATGTTCTCGTTCAAAGCCCGTGAGTTAGAGGGCAGTCGATCACTGTAGCACTAATTACTAGTAATTTCGACTAAATAGTCCGACGGGCTGTGACGTCATTTGTTTGTCAATTCATCCGGGCGTAAAACAAAGAAATGCAATCAATACATTTAATGGGCATACATTGTTACGGTAAAGGGATCTGGGTCTCGCCCCGGAAATCGTCTCTAAAAAAATTGAAAACCCAGTGGGTAAACTTAGAAGGGCTCCAATACTTAAAGCGGAGGGGCCGTCACCTGCGCATGCGCGGGAATTGAGTCCCAAGTGACGACGATAGACGCTTGTTTGTAAACAACGACACGCTATGGCCGTTTGCCGTATGCGCAGGTGACGACCCCCGCTTTAATTCAATGAATTTGCGATGAAATTGAGAACCCAACTACAATGATAATTGCCCAACTTTTTTCAGTGGCCGATAGGAAAATTGCAGCCATAAATATACTAAAACTAAACTTAAAACAATTTGTGTAAGTTCATAGTCAAGCAAAATTCATCCTTGTGAAAATAGGCATAAAACACTGAACCTACGTAGTCATGTTATGTGCCCACTATTAATAAATATAAGGTTAAATATGAGATTGTTACTATATCGATCGTAAATCCACCCCGGCAATAGGACACTCAGTCCCCTCTTGAATCCCAAAGACAGCGCCTTTACAATTCAAACGTCAAACGCCTTGAAAGTGAAACAAAGATTTCATAATGCTGCTCTGCCCTACTCTCTCTAGTAGTAGTGAGATATCTACATTCGGGTCTTTAAAATTGAAAGCACGTCTTCGATTGTTGTATTGCGCGATGTAGCATCTCAGGAGATTTACAATCTGCTTCTAGGGAGATTACCTGAGTAGATCGCGTAGGTAGTTTAGAAGGCATAGAGTAAAGTACCCATAATGCTTGTGTAATACTGCCTAAGGCATATGTAGTGCTAATATACCCCCGTCGCTAATGACGCGAGATGACAAGTTACTTTGGTTTGTTTCACAGAGTGTTACTTCTCACATCTTTAGAAAGAAAATGGCAATTCGTCTCCAAGCAACGTCGTAAGTCACCCTGTGATGATTAATCGCATACCTTGGTACAAAGTTATCAGTTCTTATTTGGGATACCAGTAATTCTTATTTCTTTTTCTACGAAATATTTAATCGTATAAAAAGATCATGTTTATTCCATCGGGAGGCTGCTTTAGTGGCTAATCTTAACTGTACCCATCACAAATCGTCATATTTACATAATATGTACATGTATCGAACATCGCGTGCACCAGCTGAGTTATGCACTCATTTTGCGACTGACTTTGTCCACCCACTCAGCTCACACGGGTTAGCGACTGTGCAAAAGGACTTGAAACGGTTCTGGCTGAAGTACTTTTTGGAGTTCGCCTGTAGTTGCCGGCATTGCGGCGCCTGAAGGTAGTTCCACGTTGTACTGATGCAACAAGAAGGCACTGAATAAAAATAGCTGCATCATGGCGAACGACTCGCCTGGACAGCGACGTGGCCCAGCACCAAACGGCTGAAAGTTCATGGAGCTCAACGGAAAGAGGTGATTAGTATCAGGATCAATAAATCGATCCGGCGTGAACACTTCGGCTTCTAAGAATACATCGGGGTCACGCTGCATGGCCCACAGATTTGAAACAATTATCGTGTCTTTTGGTATTGTAAACTGACCAATTTTAGTGGACAGCGTGGTCCTGTGCGGCACTGTAAGCGGCAACGGCGGAGAGAGTCGTAAGGTTTCTAAAATCGAAGCCTGTAGATATGGTAACCGTACTCTGTCAGCAATGGATACTGGGTCATCTCCCAACACATCCTGTAGTTCTTGGTGGACTTTTTCCTGCACGGAAGGGAAGTTCAGCATGTATACCAATGTCCATTTCAGCACTGCTGAAGTCGTTGCACAGGCTGTGTACAATACATACAAGGTGGTTATTAGTGGTTAATATGTATGAATGAATGAATAAATGAATAGGATAATCTGAGTTGTTATGGTGACCATTCTAGTGTTTCTGTCGTGTCTCGCAGAGTTTGCTAAATCGCAACATGATACCGACCGGGCCGAGTAGAATAAGTTGAATGATATCAGCAAACCGTTCACGGCATGCGACGTTAGGTGAAACCTGGTCACCGACAAAGCGTTTTTTTATCCTATCTTCTTAACATATGCGCGGAATGGACCAACTTTCAAAACGCACACGCATTTAAGAATGTAAACGTATTTATTAATTTATGTGGTTGTCTTAATCCTGCTAAATTAACGACATTAATTAAAATGGCGTTAAAATAAAAAAGAGTACCGTACCGCCATCAAATAAATCCCAAATAAGAAGCTCTAGATATTCATCACTGATGTTAATATCAGGGATCTCTGCTTGCATCTCCATCCTGGCTTTTATCAGAGCATCTGTGACGTCACGTATTCGGTCGTGCTGAAACGTAGATTTGTGCTCCATGAGTTTGCGATGAAAGAAGGCATCACGCGCGGCCACAGCCAGGCGGAAATCTGTCGTTTTATCCGAATCTGGTAGATGTTTGATGAATGAGAAGTAGTCTAGACAAACAAAAACCAATGATAAATATATTATTTGGGGGTAATCCCCACGTGCTCATATGTTCGTCCCCAGCTGTGATGTCAAGTATGTGGTCGTATATCATGGTGTACACTTCGAACAAATTTACGTGTATTACATGATCTGAATTTGTTAAATGGGCACGACTTGTGAGGTTGTCTTTTTTTTTTTCATTTGTAATATATCAGATCACATGACGTTAAAGAGCAGTGGTCGTCGCGCTACGCATGCGCGAGATATGGGTCTCATATAAACACAGATGGCGACTTTGACTGTTGCGCAGATCAACAAGTACAAACTGAGACGTTACCAAGCTTTAATTAGGTATTTTCAGATGATTGGAATTTGTCGAAGGAGTCACCGGCGGTAATTAGTGTACGTAGAAATTCGTACCCATGATTTCTTCAGCAGAGCGCATTGGATTGTGGGAAAATCTATAATTATCAATACAGATGTCGCACATGCGCGGTGCGCCGGACACCGTCATTTAAAAAATGATTTATAAGATATAGGCATACAACTTGAATATCTATTTATGGTACCACTTCCTGATGAAGACCTCGTGAGATCACATGACAAGTTTTATGTGCACGTCATCTTGAATAGTATGTATTTTTAACCAGTCGCATCACGGAAAGCAGTCGACGGTTCAATTGCGTAAAAAAAGAGAGAGATGGTTGTCCCGAATACAAATATGCAAAATATAAGTACGTAGTACGCGCATTGACACTAGCACAATAGTCCAAGGTGAACACTACTAACCAGTTATTTCATAAAATCACTCATTTGCATTTGTATTAGTATTTCTAGAAACGTACGCTTGTCTTGTGATGTTGTGATTGTTTCGGAATTTGCGTGACTTTCCAATTCTCGTGAGATCTCCATCTCGTATCAAACTAATTGCAAACCCTTATATCATAATTCCTTGTCTTTACTTATGCTAATAATATGCACATATTTCTAAATGGATTTTTGTTCATTTTTCATAAAAATGTGTTAATTTTCCTCAGTATTAAAAATGGCGCGAAAAATGTAAAATAAAGAAACCTTTAACCTTTAAGTGTATTATCTATAATCAATGTTTACTTTACTCATTGACACATCACGTACCTTGAGGGGAATTCTTCCATATATTTTCGTTTATTACGCGTTGATTCTGATAAAGCATCAGGAATTCCTTGTCGTCTCGTTTATAACGCGTACTGAACAGTGCCGTGCACATAACATTGGTGACGGCAAAGTCGATATCTGGAGCTGGATCAAAACGACGCTCTTCCACGTCCTTCAAGGTCGCTGAGAAAGGTTATATATGATGTTAGTGCATTTATCTAAATAATTAAATACCACTATTTCTGCGAAAGTTGATTCAAAACTAAGAGAAAAGTTTTAAAAAATGTATGTATATATATATCTATTTCGAATCGTAAATGTGTTTTGGTTAAACAGTACTTGGAAGAAATGCCACCAGATCTTTTCAAGATCAGACTATAGACGGTTCTCCGAAATGCCTTGGGCATTCCACTCATGCAATTGAATAAATCATAGAGGCAGAAAAGAATGGGCTAGAGGGACTCTCAGCAGTCTGGATTACGTAGTTATAACAGGGGTCGTGTTTTAGTTGATCTTATGACCTTAAAGGTAAACTATTTCATTAAAATATAACTAGGCTTTGCAGGTCATATGGGTATAGTATAGTTTCTGTATAGTTTGAAAGAATGGCTATTTTCCCTTGGAGTTTTATTGCAAAAATACATACACGTATGCTATGATTTTGGACTTTGATCGTGAGTCCTAAAAGTCTTGACCCATATCGGACGAATACTATTCAGTGTCCTTTGATGCCAAGTCGTACCATATTGCGTTTCATCTAAGTGCTCTATCATGCACAATTGTTTAGAAATACTCAAACTTCAGGAAAATCAATTACAGAGACAGCTCTAAATTTGAAATAATCCCAAAAATATTCCTTTTTATATTATAATGTGATCCTATTAAACTATAAGCTAATCCCCATGAAGTACTTGTCACTTCTATTATTTCAGAATTAGAGATAATCCCATGTAAATTGACAAGTAAAATGATATGTGTTTCTTTTGGTTAACATTAATGCCAATCGCGAAATAAATAAATAGTCACTTTCAAAGAGAAAAGTTTTCAAATAAATGAAATTCAATTAATTAAGCATTTTATGTTCGACTGAATTTTCATGAAAATTGCGAGCGCACTCTGTTGGTATACGCCTAACATCGCGAATCGCGCAAGGAAGTTGTTTTTTTGTTCAGCCTTGATGGCATGTTTTCTGCGATTATTCTATAGTTGCTACAACAGTTCATAACTATATTTTCATTTAAATATTACGCCATACAGTTTAATATGAAAATGTTTGCACTTCAAATGAAGCACAAGGCTTATAGCTGCTAGCCTATTATAACCCCCAGGCTGCATGGCGCAGCAACCAAAAGCACGCCCTCTGGCGACGGTCAAAACAATTTATTGGTTCCAGTTGATCGGCGGAGACAACGTAAACAACCGCGTTTAGACCAGTGGATTTAGCCCTGAAACAGGCCGAACCGGGAAGTAAATAGTACATTAACAAGTTTGGTATCAAAAAATAGGGAATTGGTTGTAGATTTACCCCCAAAAAAAACCCAAGAGCTGATAACATGGGCAATTTTTTTTACACGGGTAGAAGTAAGGGTTAGTGTTTTTCGTCCATTTTAGATATTTCTTACATTTATATTTTGTAATTAAAATTACTTACAGCCTACACATTATTTCATTTGTTTTTAAAATATTGTTGCTATACAGTAATACATGTCAATGGTAATTAGAAGTTATTGCATGGTTGGATATCTGCGGTAGGTAAAATCAGTGCTAAAAACCAATAAAACTTCAACATGCTCTAAAAAAAATTGCCCAACGGTTTAGGTCTTGGGGTTTTTTTTTGGTCATTCTCAATGACCTTAGCTAACGTTTGAAACAAAATTCGCTAATGTACTATTTTATTCCGGGTCAAACCCTAAATCCACTGGACTAGTTGTCACACGGCAATCTTAACACACAAAACATATTTGATTACCTATAAGTGTCTTTGCTTCATCTTCAATTATTTTTTCCCATTTCTCGTGGCCTACTATTTTCAGAGCTAAATCGGCGATTTTACGACTGACCCTCCAGTACGGCTCCTCCGCTAATCGTAACCCTTTGTTGCTTTTTGATGCCAGCTCCTCGTACAACCTGAGTGGGGGTCGACCATTGAAATCCTGTCCCTTCTGCACCATGGCTTCCCGTAGGAGTTCCATGGAATTCAGCACCACGGCCTCTTTATCTCCGAACTTCACACTTACAATTTTGCCTGTTCACAAGAAATAATGGAAACATCAGCAATTTATATTTTCTTCCGGAATGGAAATTATTACTTCCGTCAAATACTGAGATTGTTCCACAATCAATTCAACGGTATGTTTAATGGTATGTTGCGGTCCCTGTTGTTGTTCAAACGGAAAACAGCTGAAGTTTTGAAGTATTATGTATTCATCCGAATATGTACACCTCCATGATTGAGAGTGCTCCTTAGAAGGGAGACAGTGCCCCTCACTATGTTTGGGAGTTTCCCGCATGCTGAGTATACCCCTCCCGTGGATAGCATTGCCCCTTCCATAGGAGTATCAGGGGGAAATCGTTTCCTCTGAGGTTCTCCACACTTGTCAGGGGGGGAATCTCGTCTCGTCTCTCTATCGCGTCCCCTTGAGGTACGGGATCGGGAAAGTCACTTAAGCTTTACAGTCAAATAAGACACACACAACGAAATACTTTTCAACTGTCGTCTTAGTCGATCAGTCGAGCACTCTATAAGACACAGCGCCCTGGGGAAAAGTCCCCAAGACTATCGCAAGGCTGTCCCAAGACTCGTCCAAGACTGTGCTTAGACTCGCCCCAATAATCTCCAGGACTGGACCACGACTGTCGTGCTGTACTCGCCAAGACCAACTAAAACAACTTTATTCATTTTCAAAACTCTAACCAATTACAAAGCAGAAAAAAGACTCTAGGGCGTAACCCTCAATCATAAAGCCAATCGCACTAAGTACTGAACACGTCATATCTTTTGATTAATCGTTCACTAAATTAATAATTGCGAATACTAACTGTCAAAAATAGTAGTCCGAATAGCGACGGTTATCTCGTAATTAGTTCCAAATCACTGAGCCAAGTTCCGTCCAGGACCTCGCCTGCCTAAACGATGACAGACATAACACAGCCATTCGCTAATAATCATCTAATTAAGTCGATTAACAGATACGCGAAAACAATTTCATCATAGGAGGCATACTTGACTTCCCCCTGAAGAGGCAGTGAGTGAGTGTTAACAGTGCCCTCCCATGCGTGACAGCGCCCACCCAAGCTTGGCATGATACCTTCTTACTGGCGACAGTGGTGACAGTGTCACACCTTTTTCTTAACAGTGCCAAACATAGGGTGGACACTTCGAAGCATAGAAGGATGCTCCTCACATGTGTAAACGAGCATTCTCTCGCGGTCGCAAGTGCCTCATCCCCTACTTGCCACGCCCTCTCCTTGGCCTCCCTCTCATATCGGCACTGCTCAATCCCATGTGTGACAGTGGCAATGCCCCTCCCCCTCCCATGGGTAGCAGCGCCCCGCCCTGTGCTTGACAACGCCCTTATCTTGTAACACGGTGGTGACCTATATATATTTTACATCACGTGAACACGTGTACTTTATTCGCAATAGTGAATGGTAAAGTTCATTGCGTGTCGATGTGTAAATATACTCCCTCTATGGGACGAACAAGAACGATCAGATCGACAACTACGGAAATGAAATGTACAATAGTTATTGATCGCATTGCAACGATAATAGTTCTTTAAATCGGTAAACTATATCAACTTCTATTCCAGTTCATTTCACGGTTGAAATAAGCATGCATTGCACTTCCCAATTCAATTCAAAGGTCGTGCGACGTTAAATAATTTTCTCGTGCAAAAAAATGCGGGTAGAGAAAACGCGTTATAAAGTGACGTCACACCACTGTGAATGCAAGAGAATACTTGATTGGTAGAACAGGATACAGTCATGCTGGTGTCATTGCATGAACCTTTGTACACACAGAAATTATTGTTCCGCTGAACGTATTATTCAGAATACATTGGACATTTCGCTGCCCGGTATGGGAACGTATCGTTTTTCTCGTGCTGTTTTTTTTTTTTCAGGAGTAATTTTGATTCACATTATTTTGTATACTAATTGTGCATATGTATTCCAATTGTAATTCACTTTTCCCTAACTAAAGGTTGAACCAAAAATATCAACAAAGTCCGCATCAACCTGTGTAGTCACGTGTAAAGGTTGAACCTTGAACCTTGAACCCAGTAATCATTGTTGAATTTTATCATAACCTTTGACAGTATTGATTAAAGGGCAACGCATGTAAAGATCACCTGTTTACACGAAATTCGAACACGATATGTCTAAATATTGTTATTTTTTTTCTCTCATCTAAGCTCGAAATTTACCGATTATATAGTATCGTATAACATTACTGCATAAAATTGTCACAAGCACAGCAAATATTGCATACACGTCGAACCATATTTTCATAAATATTACGCATTATATTTACATTATACATTATTAACCACATTAATATGACAACAACATTAAAAGTATACCTGGAAACGGTTAATGATTATATAATATAATATAATTTGAGTAGTATATTTACATGCATCGTTGTTCTTATTTCATATTTTATTTTGTCGTACAGCCCGTATATTAGGCACTATTATAACTTCCTGCAGGGCCATGGGAGCTGGGAGTTCCATTAGTGAAATTGATGTATTAGATAATAGTACGTGATCTACTGCATTTCAGCTGTATTGCACTGAAGACTCGGCTAATGCTACGGCAATATTTGTGATTCTATTTGAGTGAAAGCCTCGCTTGCCTAATGCATTATAATTATACAGATATTATCATACTTACACCGACCTCGCCTTACCTACGTCATTATGGAATTGGGATTTTTAAGGAGATTCGAGCCTAATTAAAGATTATATATCATGTACATATGAGTTCATAGCATCAGAATACCGAAAATGATGAGAATATTTATTCGTATCTCAAAATTGTTCTCGACATTGCATGAACAAGTCGTGTATTATTAGTGATCTGACATTATTGAATCATTTCAAAAAAAATGACATATAATTTAGTAAGTTTCCAGGGAGAAATTAGTTTCCATTATATACGATGACGGTTATCTCTCACAATGCATTGCTTATATGTGTAGTAACGTTTTCAGCAGTGCATTCGTTCGATTTTGGCTCGAACTGTCTTAAAGCGGGGGAGTCGTCACCTGCGCATGCGTCAGATGGCCATAGCGTGTCATTGTTTATAAGCAAGCGTCTACCCATGAGCCTTTGCTTGTTTAGTGTGAGTTGTTATCGTCGCTTGAGACTCAATTCCAGTGCGTGCGCAGGTGACGACCCTGCCGCTTTAATACATGCTTGACACACGTCAACCTGTTTTACGTGTGTCATTCATTGATAACGCTCTATAATTCACACCCGATATTTCTGCCAGCAAACTCCAAATTAGAAAACACATTTTGTGTGATGACTTCTTCGTATCGTGGTCGTTGTTGTTATTGTTGTCTTTGTCACTCACCGTATTTCTTACTCATTTCACGTAACTTTTGATGTGGATCCTTTCCAAGCTGCAACTTATTGCCTATAAACGGCAAGCTGACGGGTCCGTCGGGATACACGTTCGTTGTCATGTCTACCTTGTCCCCTGTGCAGAAAAATATAATAACAGGTGAAAAATATTCTTAAAAAAAATGGTATTCTGTAGCGGTATAGAGAAAAGTGACAATGGTGCCGGTAATACATGCACTATATGCTCTGGACCGATTGGATGATAAAATAGATACGGGATAAGTAGAGAACCCCCGCCCGCTTGTCAGAGTGCTGTTTAATGTTTGCCGTATTAATGTCATTGTCACTTTCGTGTCAGGTAATTAATGTGAATGTATACAATGCGTGTTTTGTACGTCGCTAGGGACCCATAAAAAACATGACGCAGTTCGAATGAAACGCTTGTCAGCGACTCATTTGAAATATTAGTAGTAACTCTTTAAAAATTATTAATAACATGTATATACGTGTGTATAATAAATTGCGACCATAAAATATTAATTTGCCATTCGGGAATACATTGTTGGAACATTCCCCATCTCGTTTCTCTTCATGAAATGGTTGCGTAATACATCCCAGGTTCCATTAATTTACGCCCTCTTGCGACAAAGCGCATATGTGACGTCACAACGTCCATATTGTTTATTATATTTGAAATGACGAGCAATTATGCAACAAATTAAAACAAAATTGTATTTGAACGATATTGTAGCCCACGCGACAAGCGCTTCGTCGCTTATAGCAAAATTCTCGTATTCTCGTATTTTACGCTCGTTGTCAAATAAACTCACTGCCGTGACCCAAAAACCATTGAGGCTAGTCGTCGCGTGTAAGCAATCGTTTGCTGTGCTTATAAATTATCGATGTATTTGTGAAATTATAATAGTGTTCGTCGTACCGTGTGATGCTTACAATTAGTAAACTCAAAATACGAGATAAACGGGCATAAGCTGCGTTTTTTGCCAATCGTTTTGAATTTAGAATGTTTCAACACTGAGCCAAAATGTTCTGTGAACCAACAAATGATCATACAGCGCGACGTGTTAGTATGTATTTGCTGTGCGCATGCGCAGTCCATCTGCCAGTCTACGAGACTGTGGAATGTGGATAAAAAACATCTACACATCGGGGTAAAAACACTCAGATATTTATATGCAATAAGTAAGTGTGAGTGCAAGTAACACGGTGCGTGCACGTGCAATTTTGTGATCACGTGTGCTCAAAGAATTTAATGCAGAATATTAGAGACCCGTGATATTTTGAGTGAAGATATCTTCATTAACGAAGGCTCGAAACTTTGTCGACCACCGTTTTTATGGAGATTCAAATTTGTTTTACATACGTTGGATATTCAGCTGTATCATAACAAGTCCAACGCCCACACAGCTGAGTCTAAAAATGTCGAGATAATGGCGTATACTGAAAAAATATAGTCTCGCCAAGAAACGGTTATTTCAACCATATATAAACATGGCTAATAACGAAACGACGTGGTGATCAGGTATGTACAAATCAAACAAGAAATTTGAATCGCCACGTTGCATTTTAGGATATTTCAACGAACGAGAGCCCTCATCCATGAATTGTAGTCTGCGTCAATATGCAAATTGAATGCAATAGTGTAGAAATACCAACGAACATACCCCTCGTCTTGATTGCCTCGGCGAATAGTTTTGTTGTGAGTATCATCCCCATAGCTGCCACTGGATTAAACGTCGATACTGAGTATTAATATGGAGTAAACAACGACAATTGGGTTCTAACGATAGGTACTAGTATACTGGTTTAAATGTCACCTGACTATAAATTTAAATAGATTATTACAAAATAATCCGAACAAAAATAACCCGAATACTGGTTCTATATCGGAATGTGTGACGTGTGCACAAACTGTAACACTTATCTCGGAAATTACAATTTATATGTAAATTATATGTAAATGATGTGATTAATATGCGTATGATATAAAAGTGTGATTCAAATTTGACAAATAATATTATTACTTTGAGATTACTTTGTTTCCATCTCACATACACGAATCTATGCGAAATTGTGTACGCGTCATCTCATTTGCAAACGTCAAATTTGCCGAATTTGTAGAACATTTTTTCGTCATAATAAACACTTTAAACACACAGAATGCGTTTGAAGCAGGTTATCCCATATATAAACTAGTGAAATAATGTTCTATATCTCTGTATTTTGTCACATAAAATCCCTGTAGTCCGATTAGTCCATGCAAGCAAAATAGACTTTTGATATGGCTGACTATGAAAAAATACACCAATATCTCAATATGTTGGTGGTTTTACACAATATTTCTTGAATTATTTTGTTTAGGAATTATACTATTTCAAATAATTCTGGTAGTTTTAGATAACAGTTAAAACGCATGTGTAGTGTACAGTCTGTCACTTATATTTGAGACGTTCTTTTAAATTCTTCCAGCCTTAATTTCTCTGCGCATACAAATTACGATCACTTAGTTTTTAGTTTCGAAATAGATATACAAGGTAAACGGGATGTTAAACTGGAGGGGTGGTCACCTGCGCATGCGCGGGAATTGAGTCCCAAGCGACGAAAACAACGCACGCTAAAAAAAACAAAGGCTCATGGGTAGACGCTTGTTTGTAAACAGCGACATGCTAATGTTGTCTGCCACATGCGCAGGTGAAGACTCTCCCGCTTTAAATTCGAGATTCTGCATAATTAAGTGAATGAGTTTCGTAATTTCCATTCGTATAAACGACAATTATTTCACTCGTTTGATAAATCTGAAAATGTAGGATTATTCCCGAGATAACGTCCATGCATCTGACATTATTAGTGATTGTTTAGAATAAGCGTTACTATCACATCTCATTGTTGTTATGGATGATATGATTGGTTGAAACTCAGTCACATGACACTGAATAAAAATGAATATCACATGGCATATTGCCGCCAAGTGGATATTACATGGGTATATCGCACGGATGACGTCACTGAAACCACTGAGCATAAAATATTGTCCTTCGCTGTTTAACTGTTTTACGTGTGGTCCACCATTGACATTTGAATGCATGTTACATCACGTTACTGAAATATCCCTATGATATACTTAGTAATGGATTAATTGAATTATTAATTGAAAGTGCGACATGTGAAGTTTGTGACATATTCTATGACCTCGCCTTGGCAACCAACGCGTGGTAAATGTTCGCCTCGATTTTTCAAACATTATAAGACATGTATATATATGTTGTCGCTATTGCTAGAACATTTTGCATTTAGATTTCCCGTGATATTAACTAATGTATGCGAATGGCGCCGGTCACTGCACGTGATAACTGTTAATCGTTAAACGAGCCTCGGCTGATCCGAGTAAGTATCATGGAGTAAGTCCAGTGATATCTAAGTCTTTAATGGAAGCTGTAACGAGTACTCTACCATTGATTTATTGACTGAAACATGTGCTGAGAATCTGAATCCCAAATAATTTACTTTTAAATTATTTATGAATAAATGTTGTCAATGTATTTGAGAACGCAGACACTCGGATGGATGGTTATACAAACATGACTCGGAACAACGTAGACTCATATGCTGAACTCTTATGAGCTGAAATGGACATTGCAGTATGTAATACTGTGTTTCCATTTGGTGGAACTAGGCATTCGGAAGTCACGCCATCTGCTTCCATCGTCGATCGTCGCCGTTCAAAATGTATTGAGCGACAAACAAACTAAAAGCGAATCACTTAGATGTTGTTGTTTTATATGAAATTAATATTTTTTGTTCCCTCGTAGCATGACCGCACGTGGTATGTTTTTCAGAGTACATCATACAATTAACTGTCTCGTTCGCAGCAAGTCGTGCGAGAATCACTAAAATCGTCTTTCAAATATAAATATACTACACTACTGTATGGCAGGGATTTTTTAATGCATTCGCTTCGCTTATTTGCCTTTACACACGAAACGGTGACCGTGTGCATCACCAATTTTCGAACAAGCCTGCGAGTTGCTGACAGAATATTACGCGCGTCAAACCCTTCGGCAAATAGTTTTCATTGTGGTTTTTCAGCTGCCATCAGAACAAAGCATCGTGACCCTTAACTCTTGTCAGATCCCGCGAGATCTCTTCGAGATAATAATAAACCAGCTGAGCAATCTTTCTATGATATACACCCCGGGTAATTAACATAATATCTATAAACTGTTAATAATTTAATTGTGTGTATTCGTGTGTGTAATATGAAATGAAACATATACGTCGTGAAATGCAATTTCATCGTATACACCTCGAAATATTTACAAAGTACAGCACTCAACTGACATGCAAATAATAACCCGGGTTTATTTTTAGGTCTTTTATTAATTGCTGTCACCGTGCTCAGTTCTGTTTATAGACACGGTATAGTGAATAAAGATAGCAAATATTCTAGTCTATACAGATACATCAATTCCTAATCTACCAAGTTAATTCGATTGACCTGATAATTACAGCCTTATTCCGCACGAATCACAAAATATGCGGAAACACCCTCAGCTCGGGATTGCAAATAAGCGGGCAGGGGATAATTCGTTACTATAATAACCAATTATCACTCGTCTCTGAAACCGACGTCCAGATTGCGACGAACGCCGTCGACATGGTGCTTTTTATTGGTGGTTTCATAATCCTCGGCAATAAAAAAAAAAGTACTCCACATCCTATTGCATGACACATGATTGATCTGATCAAGAATGCTTAGTCAAGGCAGAAGCCACTGTGGTCCATGGTTAGGCTAGGATGTCGCCGAGTTTGCATACGGATTACCGTATATGAATTCACGAAAATATATAGTCTACTCTAAGCACGAAACACACTCGCCTATCGACCCAGACGCACAGTCCGGGTTAACACATTTGTTTAGCAATGAATACATTATTATACAAAACTAAACTAATGATAATATCGTATTCCAGTTATCAAAATTAAGTGTATAAATGAACCACAACAATGACGTCAGATTGTTAGCACAGAATATTACCTCACGTGCTACTGGGTAACATAAATATGTCAATGAACACAACTAAACAGCTGAAAATTGATTTTGTTGTCGCTAGTTAAATATGCGCCATGTTTCTGCGGTTTAAAACAGATGGCATAGTTTCTACCACATTGTGGGGACAATATACGGGTATAGTATACGCATTTTACAAAGTAGTCACCATGAATACAACACATTGTACACTAATAGCTACATTAATATATCATATTCATCAACACATATCCATACAGGTATCTGATTAAGAAGGAATTGACTGATCACTTATTTGCGAAATCTGCACATATGACAAATATATAATATGATAATCGACTGAGAAAAAAATAAATAACATATTAAAAATTTATATATTTTTACCATGGACTAAAACGAAAATACTTTCTTCTCAGTTACAACCCATCTAAAATAATATCAAATTGAAATATGTCATGACAGAAAAGCTACCCTGTAAGGCACTTATAAAGCGATGCCTAATCCGTGCCTAATCTTACGCATCCTCGTTTCAGTGGACTCTGCTACTACCGTCAAAATGTCAAGTCGATTACTATCAGCACACTGTGTACATTGCGGCTAACACCGGCGATTTACACTCATTCCCCGTGTGACACAAAAACTCGTTGTTGGTTCTCAAAAAAAATGTCAGAATTAAAAAAAAAAATCTAAATACTACGTTTTAGTTTTGTTACACGCCATGTTAGTTGATTATTAATATGCAGTATCAGAATCACTGGAGCGAGATGGAGTGCAATGTATTCAGGTTTATTACGTTGGCCCACTGATAAATGCAACCGGACATAAATCCACTATTGCACACGAAGTATGCTTGATTTACGCAGATACTAGTAGTTCCATATGTTCATTGGTTACATTTTAGAAACATTTAAACAAGAACGTAGATAAAAAATATGTAAAAGCGTACGTACTTGTAAATACCGGCGATTTCTCCACGTCTGTCCACTCCCACTATTCAGGCTGCGCACTGTTCACTGCCGTCACGGTTATTCCTAGATGACGTCACTGCAATAAGTTAGTGCGCCGAACGACGAGGGTGATATTAACACCACGGTGTTTCAATTAGCATATCGCTTTGAATAAAGCCTATTTATGCACACTGGCACCGTCCTTACCTGCTTCTTTCACAAACAATATAAATGTCTTCATATTGCCACTAGGTGGCGCTACTATGTATATGTGATGTGATGTGATGTTTTTTTTATTGTTCTGTATCCTCGGGGCGGACAAAGCGCTGAAAACAAAAACCAAAAAGTCTCAGAAAATGGTACTTTGGGATGGTTGTTGGTTTGATGGTTGAGACTCCCCTGAACAGTGTAACAATATTAGCCCTACGTGTGTAACATATATAAATTTGGTTGTTCAGGATTACTTACAAACTTTCGCAGCC